AATTGGAGGCTGAAATCCAAGAATCTTTTCCATCTGAAGTAGTTGTTGAAAAGGATACAACAAAAGTTGACAATACCTATGAGTTGCACACTTCACCTTTAAAGTTGCTTGGAGAGCTTACAGGAGATCCAGGTATTGGCTTTTATCAACTATGCTTCAGGGAAACTCATGCAAGATTGCTGAATCATGTTTGTTTCAGAAAAGGTGAGATTTCCCATCCTCATTATCAGTCAAGGATCAACGAGAATGATTTTGTTCGATCCATTCGCAATATCTGTCCAGTACCTCCACCTGATTGTTATGAACATGAACCAGAGCATGATTTGAAGAGATTCTTCATCAATGATGACCGCATCATTTATTTGGATGGCAGGTATCAGGTCGATCCAAAGGCCCTTGAAAGGGCAGGTCATGCTCGAGAAGAATTGGAGGATACGAAAAAGGAACTCAAGAAGGAACTGGAATCATATGGTCCCAAGGGACCCAGTTGGGACTTTGTCACCTTCTATGAAGAGCTGTGCAGAAGGTTCCTCAAGGGAAGAATAGAAGAACCATATGGAACTAATTTATTGGCCAGCTCAGAGTCCTTGACATTTTTATCCTGGAACTATGGCAACATGGTTCGTGGTCAGAAGTACACCACACCAAGGTTTCTCCAAGGACTTGATAGTGCAATGAGGCCACGCAAACAGAGCGCCATGTCACTTCAGAATGAGCAATTTGAGAACAACCTTTTCTTCAACATGCTCTTCTTTTTACGTGCACATGTCGTGATTCTCCAGGAAGCTCATCTTCTTGTTCCTGCCAAGGAATTTATTGAGCAAAAGAATTGGACAGTTTGTTTCAATGATTGGGAGAATCTTGCAGTGATGGCTAGATTGGCGCCAGGTGGATATGTCAAGATCATTGCTGGACATGACCAAGATCTTGGTCACTGTGAACAGCGTGATGTAACTTGGGCTATCTACGAGATTTGTTTTGGAGAAACAAGGCCTCGTCAAGATTTCAAGGATGCAGACTTTGAATTTGATGACTATGGTCCTGAGGACAAGCGTGTTCCACTTACTCGAGCGAACATGCATACCATCAGAGTCTGTAATTATCATGTTGATACACACCGTGCTGTGGATGCCCACCTACTGACAGGAGAACAGACAGCATTGATGCTTTACGAGTGTTTTGTCTATGAGGTGGACATCATTTCTGGTGATGCAAATAGTTTGGCCTACAGAATGTCTGGGTACAAAAGGCAGCCAATGGCTAACTACTATTACAGCACCATGCAGCATTGGATCCGCAGGTTTTCAGAAGCTCGTGTCAAAGCAGATCCTGGTATCAAAGCACCTATTCCCAGAACATTTTACAGTTCTACTTCACAGGTCCTCAAGAATTGTGAAGATTACTTTGACAAACTCTGGGAAGAATATTCTACTGTTGAAAAAGAAGAATACCAAGAATCAAAGCTTGGCGATACATGTTTGTCTACCATTGTTAAATGGGGTCATTCAATGAGTGAAGAGGAATATGAAAATTCCACAGTGAGTACGAAGGAGTTCATCTGTAATTTTTCAGAGAACTTTGCTATGATTGACACGGAGGTTATGTGCTCAAGGCCCACTGACGAGGACAGTCATGGTCCAATGTTTATTTCACTCAGACCAGCTTCCTTTTCATCTGGAGACAGAAAACAGTATCGCATGGGACCAACTCTTCATGAGGCGAACTTGCGGAGGAAGGAGAGACAAAAGCAGAATAAAAGGAAAGGAAGGCCGCCAACTTCTGATCAAGCAACTTCATCGTTTGCAGCGGCATAATTCCTGAGCGAAGGCTGAAATTTAAATGATGGCTAGGAAGTCAAGATACTTCTGGTTACAGTTGATACTTTGCTTCCAGGCTTGACTTTAAGTTGCCAGGCTGAAGTTTTAATAAATTCTGGTTTGCAATGAGGAGAAACTTTTTATCAAAGAAGATACTCCTGCATTCTAGGTTTATACGCTTTAGCATGTAGATAGGTATGGACAGTTTTGCATAACTGATGATATCTATCACAGTCGCTTTTCTGAGATGACCTCTAATGGACAACCATTCATGGTTGATGATTAAGTCATTTCATAAGTCTGCATTTGTAGTGCAAGTTTTGTACATACATTTGCCGGTATATCCTTCTTGTGTTTTGATGTGAATGTGAAAGAGAGTCCTTTTGATGCAGTTTATTTTGTCTGTGAATGAAAGCGGTCGAGACCACGTCACGAGAAGATTATTCCTCGGACCGTACGCTCCTTGCATTTTGCAAGGCATCTTAATTCATTGCATTGTGCGGTCTTGAATTTTTAGTTCTTTGTTACGCGAGTGTCGTTTGATTCTTTTATAGGTCTCTGTAGAGAAAAAGCCGCTTTCCCTTTTAGTTTGATTTAGCTCAGGCCATAAAGAGCTAGTGAGCGCCGGTACATGGTATCTCCGCCTGCGAAAAGTACAGTCTCCAGCCGAGGTACATTATCGATTTGATTTTGTACTTGAGGTGAGTCAGCTATTGCTCCCTCACTGTATTTAGTAGCTATGAGATTACCTTCTCCAAAGTGTGAAACACACTGGATTAGGTAAGTACATGGCACCATAGTTTTCTTTTAAGTTGTCAGAGCTAGCTGGACTGATTTAGCCTTGCAGTAGAAAAAGAGTATGCGACGTACGCAATCAGCTAGAAGTGGACATGAATCTTGTGCCTGCTGAAAAGTAGAGCCTACCTGTACAGGGTTCCACTCCAACAGCTGATATAGTGTGTCCATGCTTGACTGCTTCAAGGCTCAAAGAGCAAGAGGATAAGACTCTGCGCATAAAAGACACTAGCGGTCTGCACCTCTACCGTGTACGCCCTAGTCACTCTTTCACCCCTCCTCCCCTCTCCCCACCTCCCCTCTCCCCACCTCCCCCCCTCTCCTCCTCCTTGTCTTCCTCCCATCTTCCCTCCCTCCCTCCTCCCTCCTCCCTCTTCGCAAGTTCGACTCCGTCCTGTCGTCGCTCTTTGGCATGCGGTTAGCGTTGCGTATCTTGCGGCCGCACTCGCTCACTCTCACTCTCACTCTCTCACTGTCTCACTGTCTCACTGTCTCTCTCATCTCTCTCATCTCTCTCATCTCTTTCTCATCTCTCTCTCCTCTCTCTCTCTCTCTCCTCTCTGTCTCTCGTCTTTCCGTCTCTCTTCTCTCTCTTCTCTCGCAGGAGGATCCGGGCAAAGAGCCACATATAAAGGACTTTTCACCCCTGCCTCCAAAAAGAGCGCCGTGTTTTTTCCTACCTCGCTGCCCTCCACTTTCCCATTCTGGAGCGCTAGCTTTCGCCCCCCCCTTGGCCTCAAGTCCTCTTCATCCCACCCACTCCATGAGAATCATCTTAGCCAAAATGCAGATTTTCACCATGGCAGCGGCTGAGACAAAAAGCGGCCACGACGGTCGCACAGCCGATCTTGATCAATTGGAAGACGACAACTCATTTCCCAAATGTGTGGAGTGCCTGGCACGGTCCATGTTTTGTGTTTTTAAGTTTTCAAACGTTTTCTTCATCTTTGTCACTTTGTTTCATCTTGCTTGGTTCTTGGGTCGTCTTGGGTCGAGCTCCCAAACTCTCAAGCTGCAGGCCTTCTACCATTGGATTATCCATGCATGCCAGACCAAGCTCCACAACCCCGAGGCGCAGAATCCGACTTCGCACATTGACCGGTCCCGTCGGCTGCGGATCCTGTGACTCTCAGCCGTGCAAATTGTTTCAGGCCGCGCGTTGGTTTGCAGCTCGAATGGAAAAGTCCGGGCTGAAAGCCAATGCCAGGGCCTTGGAGGGGGCTGCAGAGCAGTGGCTGCAGCTAAAATCCTTTTGTACCCAAAGCCAAACATAGGGCACGTTAATCCAGGTTTCCATTTTTGTATGGTCTTCTGAGCGTTCTTTGGGAGACTTTGTTGCTTAAAGTCCTTCAAAGGTTCACCTTGAACGGGACACCCCGGGTGGACATCAGTCCGTGATCGACCTCTGAAGCTTCAGCCTCCAGACCATCTCGTTCAGGTCGTCACGTTCAACTGTATGATTGGCTCCTGCTTCAAGAATGGTCCGGGAGCTCAGTGTTTTTCCTTTTCAGTCCTGGCCTGGTGAGGGGCTTTGTGGGGTATTTGGATTCTCCAGTGATGGCAAAAGGGTGCTGCGAACAATTCTGCTCAACAGAAGCTTCCATCCTCAACCATGAGACATGGACTGGTCCTGAAATGCACCGAAGCTTGAGCAGCTTGAGGCGACTTGGACCTTGCACGCTCTTGGCCTGGGAGCTCAGCCGAAACGCTCAAAACGACACGAGCATCAAGGGCTCAACTCAGATTGGCTAACTAGATCGACAGCTTGGATCAGCTTGCATAGACCAAAGCTTGACTTGCTGTTGCATCAACGCCTCCCAGTCAGCCCCCAAGCCCACGAGGTCTTGCCCCTGTTTTTTTGTTCGAACGGTTTGGACTGGGGGCGCGCGACGCAGGGTTCGCGCCGAGCCCCTCGCGCGCTTCCGGGTGCAGCCCAGTCAGGGACCCCCTCTGTCAACATGACGGAGACAAAGTGCTGTTGTGTTGGAGCTTGGTTCACTATCTGGAAACGAACCAGATTTCTTGTTGATAAGGATTCGTTTTGAAGGCTACTTGAGGGTACAGATCTTTGATTCACACTCTTCGATACTATGGTCAGGTGGGATGTCATGGTTGCCAGTGGCATCAAACCCAACCGCGTGACCTACAACATCCTGATCAGTTCGTGTGCCAAGGCAGCTCAAAGCTTTTGGCATCCTGATTGAACAGTTTGATTCAGATTTGTCCTCTGATTAGCAACCATCCTCATGTTGACCACATGCAGTGAATTGGGTATCAGTGTATACAGTATACAGGAATGTCACCAACATCTCCTTTATCCATCATGAACCGCCAGCTGCCTATGTTGTTTTGGTCCACTTACAGCATTTCCAGATTTCTTTGTGTCAGATGCGCGATGCCGCTGGCGCCGAGAAGTGGATGTTGCAAATGATCGAGCAAGGCATCGTGATGGTTCGGAAGGTGCAGTGATTGTTCGGCTCATGGTGCTCAACTGAATCCATGAACTGTGGGCTTACCTTGCGAGGTGAGGCTCGGTGAGGCTCGGTGAGGCCTTCCGGCCAGCGGTCGAAGCAGGTGTGAGACCCTGTACCGTCTCCTTTACGGCAGTCATCAGTGCATTTGCCAAGATTGGAGTGCCTTGGGCGGCACCGGTTTGGGCGGTGACAGAGGCGACCGGTGACCGGTCACCGATTTTGCGGCTTCACTTGGAAGAGAGGGAGGTTCATCCGCAAAGCACAGAGAATTGGTTTCGCTCCGGTCATGGCTGAGGATCTGGAATCTGCAGAAAGCTGGTTTGGGCGCATGGAGGAGAGTGGGTCCAGATGCTTTTGTCTTCTCAAGTCTTATCCAATTGAGTGCAGATGGATAGTTCTGAAAGGCTGATGGACATTGAGAAAATTGAGATCTAGTCTAGAGTCTACACGGACATTTGCAACACTCAAAGCAGAGGGAGGGATCAATTTGACTGAGTGTTGACCTCAGGATCTTGACATCGGGTCATTCTGGGTCATTGGTGAAACCTTGGGGAGAGACCTCTTGACCTCCGCGCCAGGATTCGCAAGAGGCACCTTGGAGCAGTTGGGCGAAACCTCGCCCAGAGGTGTAGCGACGTCGAAGCGATCGATCGATGCGTGGGAGGCGTGGGGTGGAAGTAGAGTCAACTCTGGATCCCACCATTGGGCCGATGGGCGCGATGGCCGTCTGGTGGTTGGAGCCACCCAGTATTTTGGGATGGTTGTTTGTACAAACTGTCGTAAACTTGTGTTGCTACGAGGGTTTGTTTGCCTTTGCTTGGGGTGCGTTGATTGTTTGAACAGCTGACTCGCTCGGGGAAAGGACAAGTCCGGTGTGGCAAAAGGCCACAAACTTCTGCAATTATGTTTTGCCAACGCTTGTGCTCCCACTGGGCACCTACAGGCACCATCTCGGATCGTCAGATCATTGGCTTTGACTGGGCCATGCAAGAACAATGGCCCCCATCTTGTAGGCCTTGCGGCTTCGACAGGACTATCGTGTGAGCACTCAAAAGGGCAGCCTGACATGTCTGGGCACCGGGCAGCCTGAGACTTTTTGGGCACTGGGTTGGGCACCAGTTGCAGATGCTTTGTGCACTGAGGCAGCGGATTCGGTGGTTTACAACAGCATGATCAACGCGTGTCTCCTCCTCAGCCCTTTCATGACGTAGGCTACTGAAGTTTCGATCCGTCACTAGTTTGCATGGCTTCGCATCGCTTGACCGTGCTTTGTCATGGCTTCCGTGTTGCTGTGGACTTGGCCAGATCCATTCGACGCCATTCTGTGTCCACAGCGACCCATTCGACGCACTTTTTTCCCACTTCTTCGACGGATCGACTCGACGAATCGCCTCTGCTGCCCGCTTTTCGGTGCCAGGTGCCAAGGCCGGCGACATCGAGCGGGCTGACCACTGGCTGGAACGCATGTTGCAGGTGGGCATCGATGGCGAGGGGTCGCCGAAAGGGAGGGAAAGGGATGAGGGGTTCCATGCGCCGAAGGTAGTCATGATCTTCAGTTCTGTGCCCCATGTAGAACTGTGCGCTCTGGTGACGTGAGTCTTCATGTTTTGGCCTCCATGTTGCCACCCATTGACTCAGGCTGGCGTCAAACCAGACGACAAGACCTACAACAGCGGGGGTGCAGAGTCATCGGCTGTGGTTTTGATGTTCCAGACGGGGTTTAGCTGTTGGCATTGCTTGTCCTTGTCCTTCCCTTTGGCTGGACGGGTTCGCGGAAGGTCTGATGCATGCTTGTGGCCGCAACGGAAATCCTGAACGAGCTGAGCTTTGGTATGCGTGCCTTGAGAGCAATCTGACTCCCTTTGTGACGCTGGTTCAACATGTTGACCTTCAAAACAAACTGGGCTGCAATTTCCACAATTTCCACAGAGTTAATCGAATGATCAACCATTACGAAAGCCAGCCGATAGGCTAGGCTGAAGTAGTGCTACGAACGAAGTTCGTCATTAGGGGGTGTGGGGGGGAGACGGGCGGCAAGTGATGTAAACCACGCTAGCCTGCTGGTGTTTTTGGATTGCCAAGAAGATGTTTTTTGTGGCTTGGTATCTATAGGACATCCCTCGTTCCAGTCACTTGCGAAGACTACTCCTATATACTCCTATGATTCCCCAAGACCACCCCTTCAGCTTCAATACCTTGCTTTGACATGTCAACATGGAAGACACATGCCTGGTAGTAGTTTTTGATCTCATTGTCTTTGGGTCGGATCACCAAGCTATACAGATTTGCATTTACTGGAGTCTCTTCTGCACTTGGAGTGGTTCATACGTTCCACGACCTACCCGGCCCCGCCCCGGTAATACCGCAGAAACATATATAAGTTACTGGGGTCTGCAGACGGACCACGAAAATGAACAGTATGTCTTGCATCATGCTATGTTCCTGCAGTCTGGTGTTGTGGCCGTTCGTCGCCCCAGTAACCCGTATTTTTGGGGCTATTACCGGGGGCCCAAATACCAGTGCAGAGAAATGTACCTGTCAGTCATGGGAGGGGAGGCTGACCTTGCCGCTTTCCGACGGGGCTTGACTAGCTTCTGTTGTCGTGGCTACTGTTCATCTTCATCGCTTCCATGTGTGTGTGTGTGTGGCGCGGAGTACCTCCAAGGAAGCCTCCTAACCTTTCCTAACCAACGCGCCTCCGTCACGTGCGTGTTCCTCCAATGAGCCAGCAACAAAAGCCAAACGCCGGCAGGAGTGGGGATAGCAGTCCAAGTAGGAAATTCAAAAGGAAGACCACGGCCTTAACAACCGTATCCACCACAGCAGTGAAGGTTGCCCCACCAGAGTTGCAGTGGCTTATTGAACATGGCTGAACGAACTGCGCATTATATATATATATATATTATGTATGTATATATATAGAGAGAGAGAGCGGGTGTGCTTGGGACAGCACACGCTAGCTCAAAACCATTAGCAAACACTATAAATACTGTGCAAAATATCAAAAACTGCTCTGGGACCTAGGCGAAACGCATGTTTTTCAACCTTCCTGTGCCCAGTCTGGATGTGCAATGTCAATTACAACAATTAACAGCTCTGTGTCTGCCCACTATGAATGTGTAAGACCAATGACAAGTAGGTTAACCTTTCTCTGCATGCAATGAATGTAGCAGCGTGACCGAATATAGATATAATATTATACACACACACATATATATATATATCAAGATGAACATGTATGCCAATGATATTGCTTTAGTCTCTTGCTTATCTGGCTTTTCATGATGTATCTTTACGTGCCCTTTTTGTAAAAACATCTCCCAGGGCACCCGTATTGTTAATACACAGGGGCCCCTCCACCCCCCTCACTTTGACCATAAAGTTCATTCCAGATTCTGAGAAAGGAGCTTTGAATCTTTACTTAGGACAAGTTCCTGGAATTGAGATGAAAGAGACTTCTAAGAAAAGAATTTAATAAGGAAATGGAATGAATCCTTTATCAGCGCAGAAAGGAAATTCTAAGAAAGGCTGTTAATAAGGAAATGAAAAGAATCTTTACAGAACAGAAAGGGAATTCTAAGAAAGGAACTTAATGAGTGAAGCTAATTTTTACTTAGAACAGAAAGGGAATTCTAAGAAAGGAGTTAAACAAGGACATGAAATTAATCTTTATCTTAGACTCTTAGAGCAGGCAACAAACGTGTTTAGCTTTATTTAGGGTGCGCTCTACTTAGGGTATGGTGGCTGCATGAGGGGTAGTCTTTCCAGGGTCGTTTTGATCGAACTTGAATGGCTTTTAAATAAGGGTTCTAAAGATTTTCTATGCAGGACTTGCGTTTAGCGACACTGTCGGAAGCACAGCGGCACCAGTACTCGGCAAAAGCCGTTGTAGAAACCTTCACATCTATGCGACCGTGTCAGAAATGAAATGAAATTCATTAAATAAAGACTGCAACTTTTCACGAATGCCAGCTGCGCAACAAAGCTTTAGATTCTAGAGAAAAACAGCATACGAAAAAGAAAGCAAAACCAAAAAAAACAACATTTGAGCAAAAACGTGCAAATCCTATACTACCCCCATTTTGTCTCAAGCTGTTTTTTGTTTTTCACTAAAGCCAGCTGATAGGCTAGGCTGGGAACGAAGTGAGTAAAGGGGGTGTGGGGGGGGTGGGTGCCACAGGGCCAATTTCGGAGAGCTAGCTGACCCAGAGCCTGGCAGGGGAGAGCGAAAAACGAGGTGGCCAGGAGGTATTGAAAATGAGTGGTTTTTGGGGTGTTGCGATGCAAGTGATGTAATTGACGGCGAGTAGTGCGTCATTAGCATCATGAGGGGCTCAGGAGGCAATGTAAACCGTCTGGAAGACAGACACAGCGGAGGAGGATGGGTAGGAAAAGGCGGTTTGCGAGAAATCTTGGAGTTGCTTGGGGTTGCGACGCCCGGCAACCGTGCGCAATAGGGCGCCCCATTCTTGCGAGCAGGAGAGAGAACAGACTGGGGGCGCCCTGTTTTACTGGTGGAGAGGCCTAGTTGCCGGACTCAAACGGGCGCCCCATATGAGGTGGAAGTTCATGTGGATTAGACAGGCGCAGCGGAGGATACCAAGGGTGGGAGTTATGTCGACGCAATGGGGCACCCCCAAAAGGGTGCGAGTGCGTGTAATGTTGAATTGCGAGGGGGTGCCCTTTTTCAATGGTGAAGCGGCCCCGTTGCCGGACTCAAAAGGGCACCCCCTATGGGGTGGGAGTTCATGAGTTCAATGTGGATCACGCACAGCGGAGGCGGAAGGTTTTGAGTTGCTTGGGTGCTCTTTTTTACCGGGAGAGGCCTAGTTGCTGGACTCAAAAGGCCACCCGATATGGGGTGGGCTGGCTTTCGTCCCCTCCCTTCACAGGTTTCTATTTTTTGATTTTTTGTTTCTTTGAGGCAAAAAGTCAAAATCCTATACTACCACCATCTTGTTTCAAATGCAGTTTTTTTTTTGTGTGTTTTTGTGTTTCTCTGTGATAGGCCTGGTCCTCACAAAGTTGATTTAACAATAACTGAAAGCTAAGGTTTTGGTGATGATTTAGCCCATGGTCCTCACAAAATTGATCTAAAAATAACTGAAAACCTAGGTTTTGGTGATGTTTTAGCAAAAAATCACTGTAACACACAGTGTTTTTGATCACTTCTTGCACAAAAAACATCTCTCAGGAGCACCCGTTCTGTATATATACATATACGCACACACACACACATATATATATATATGTATATTTAGAGTACAGCTGACCCGGCCTTCAGCCATCTCCATGCGACCATTGCCGCGCATGGAAAAATCTTGCGCGCATTCGTCCTGGCGGTCGTTTCCCCCTTCTCAGGTAGGATATGGGGCCCGGGTGTAGTACACGATCACGTTTCTTTGATTTCGTCTCAGGCAGATGACAGTGATTGGCTTCAAGCCAGCCTGCGCGCCCAGCTGGATGTACGACCCATGGGGAGGGTGGAACTGTGAAGGCGTCTCAGGATGATGTATGCACCGTTGTCCGGTTCATTGGGAACTTGCGTAGGTGACAGGAAGCTGCGCAAGCTGACACGCAACCATCCTCTGACCTTTACATCATCATAGACTGTTTGATTTACTGTACATCCCGCATGTTCGGACAATTCTGTTTGGAAGCAGAGTTGCAAGTACGTGCCTGTCGAAATTTCACAGACGTGTAACACCTTGGGATATATCACGTTGTGACCATCGGCCGAGAAAAACCAAGAAACTGAGGATCGAATCACCTTCAGCACCATTATCAATTCGTGTGCCAAAGCTGGATCAGTGGAGAAGGTGTGGCCGGAAAAATTGATATTGGGAACAGAGGTATGCGGCAGTTTATTTTGGATGATTCCTGGATTGATTAGCGGTAACTAGCAACAGGTTGCAAGTGAGAAGACTGCTGCATTTATCTTGCAAAATCCCCTTCCTTTCCATTCCCGACTCAGTCGAAGTCAGGAAGTTATTGGTCCAACGATCCAATGGTTTGTGGCCCAACTCAGCCGTCTCTTGTTCTCCCGAGAATCATTGCTTTCTTCGGTCGGACAGGCCTCCTACTGGATCAAGGCAGGCGCCTGAAGTGTGGCTAGTCTCCTCTGGTACAAACAAGTCCATTTGCGTGACTGTCGGATTCATATCGTTTTTTCTTGGCACACATTCTTTGCGCTCTTTTTAAATGAATGTTTTCCAATGTTGCAAGTTGTAATAGTTTTGTTTTGGGCAGAGGTCAGTGTGCCCTTGAGTTGTCAAATGTGACATATATATATATATGTATAGTATGTGTATGTATGTATGTATGGATGGATGGATGGATGTATGCATGTATATGTATATGTTTCCATTATCACTTCAGCCAAGAGCACTCGCGCTCAAGTTTCTTGGCTCACAGCTGATGCCCTGGGAACTGGTGCTCGACCTTTTTAGGGAGGTCAAGTACTGGTGGCCGGCGGGCGCGCTGCTGGCGTTGTGCACGCTCCTTGGCTGCTGCTGCGGCGCGCGCTGCGGGGGCTTGACAGCTCTCTTCCTGCTCTCCTTGGCTTGCCGCCAAGGGCTTGGCGCGGTCGCTGCTGTAGCGGCCTCTTCAGTGGTCACTGCTGAAGAGCTGGTGCCCAGCGAAGCTCCAGGGGAGCTGCCAGTGCTGGGGGAGTCGGAGATCGACATGCTGAGGAGGAGGATTGCCGAGCTCGAGAACCAGCGGAGCTGCTTCAACTCACCCGCCTTCTACTCCAAGACCGGCTACCTCCGCAAACCAAGGACTTCTGTTCAGTGGGGCTCCAACTATGATTTATGAGAGGCATGCCTGCCGCAGTGGAGAAGCTCCGACAGCTGGCGGGGTCAGCGCCTACCCGTTGTGGTGCCCACAAACGGGAGCTCAGAGAGTCAAGGCCGGAGCAGATCTTCGAGGCCCTTCAACAAGAGGAGAGGCAGAAAGCAGTGGAGCCAGTCGCGATGGACGAAAGCCTCGAGGAGTTGGGCGGGGCCATCACCGACCCAATGCAAAGGCTGATGTTGTTGCAGATGAAGCAGCTGCACTTGCTCACCCAGAGTCAAGTCAAGGCGAAAAACAGTCAAAGATCCCACAGGGGATCCGAACAGAACCAAGAAACAACCATGGAAACTACCCAAGAAGCGTGCCAACAAGGAGGACGGGGTTTCCAGCTTGTCCCAAGCTTAGAGCCGCATCTGTCCCAGGCCTCTGCTTCCCAGCCTTGTGGAGCCGCCTTGCCGAGCTCTTCTAAGTCAGAGCGGGGGAGTTGGACCCCTTCTGCTACATCCGGTCGGGTAGTTCCTCATGGTCTGGGTTGTAGAGTTGAGCGGGGCCAGCGGCATGGAGCTGAGGCGCGAGCGCAAGCAAAGTTGGAAGAGGGAGTTGGCAAGACCTCTTCTGGTGGCACTCCTGCGACCCAATTGGCGCCGCCCCATGGAATTGAGTGCATTGAGTTTTTTCAGGCAGCTATGAAAGTGGCTGCTCAGCGAGGGGGCTTCGCATCGTTTGCTCGCTCTTTTCGCACACCAATCCGCAATGATGACGGGCTTCAGCCGAGGTCCGACTTGTGGCCTTGTCCCCCGCCTTTCTGGGGGCGTTGGACAAAGCTCAGTCACTTTCTCCAAAGCGCAGGCGGAAGCACCGCCGTTTGCGCGCTGTGGCCGAGGCTGTTCAGACCATGGTGATCGCGCTCAACTGGTTGACACTTAAGTTGGCCATGCGAAGAGCCCACCACCTTACGCGAGAGCCGGGTACCCTATGAGCCAGCAGCAGGAACGCATGCTGGAGTGTCTCGAGACTCAGGTTCAGTACTTTTTTGAAGCAGAGCCTGTAACTCTTGAGCATTTAGGGCGGGCTGGTGAGAAACTGAGTCAATTAGGAAAGCTTGCTTTGACAATTCGTTCATCTTCTCAAAATATTGCTTTTGAAGATGTGCATAGTTTTTTTGAGTGATCTTCAAACTACCTTTGATAGTTATTCCAAACCCAAACGTGCACCGACACCATCGACTCTCTCCAGATCTGCCTTGGTAGAGGAAAGGCCACAAGCGCAGCAGGTCGAGCCGGTCGTCAGGGTTCCTATGCAGAGTTGTGTTTCTAAACCTGTGGTTGCAGAGCGAGTCAAATGGAAGTTAGCTCCAACTTTTGACCCTCTTCCTTACCTTTCCGACCCTGTGGTTCGTGAAGCCTACAAGAATCCTGACGTGCTGCGAAAGCCTGAGAACCAGTGGCCACGGCTTCCCAAAGCCATCGTTCATGCCCGACGTGGCGAAGTGTTGGCGCTTGCAACAAAGTGGGACGAGGTGAATGCCTGCCGAGTCGTCGCATGTTCGGAGGTCAGAGATGAAGAGACAGTGGGCATGTTTTGCGTCCCCAAGGACGCAGAATGGGGTCGGTTGATACTCAATCCCACAGTCGTTAATAGAATAATTCTAGATCTTTTCCCTATTCCGTGTTTACCAAGACGCTGGCCCCTCACTACCTCATGACTCAGATCCAGCTAGAACAAGATGAGGTTCTCCGCATCTCTTCTGATGATCTTGGTGAATTTTTTTTTATACCTTCCGGGTCAGTCAGCAGAGAGCAAAGCGAAACGCAATTGGGGTAAAGTTTCACGGTCGTGAACTTCAACATCTCAAGTGCTTCCCTACTTCACTGTTAAATGAGGACTCTTGCGACGGGGGACGCTCTGGCTGTGGAGATCGCTCAGCAAAGCCACTACAACCTCTTGAAGGAACTGGCTGGTTGCATGAGGCCCCATGAATCTCTACAGTACAGACGCCCTTGTCCAAGAGGGCCCTTCTATGAGCTGTTGACTATTGACGATCATATCGGTTTACAGCGGTCTCGCAGGGGCTTTCCTCTTGATAGTAACACTCGTGATGTTGCAGTTTTTCAATCAGCAGAACAAGCGTACAAACAGGTGAAGCTTACAGCGCACCCAGGCAAGAAGCAGAGGCAAGAACTCCATGCTACTGTGTTGGGAGCTGAAGTTCACGGTGAGCGCGGGCGAGTGTCAGCCCCTCGGGCTCGAGTGGCCATGCTGGTGTTCATCGCAAGTGTGATTGTTTGCAAGGGGTTAGTGACACGGAAGATCTTGCAAGGGTTGATAGGATGTTGGACACATGTGCCTGTTTCGCAGACCAATTTTTGGTATTCTGGATGCAGTGTATCACGAGGGCGAACAGTTCGCCGGGGATGTACTCTTCAGGCTTTCAAGACAGTGTATTAACGAACTCCTCATGTTATGTTTGCTGGCCCCAGCAATGCAGACGGACCTCAGAGCTGCTGTGAGTGATGCCATCTACATGATGGATGCTTCACCTAACTTGGCACTTCGAGAGCTTGGCTTAGAGCGTGAAGAGTTGTTTGGGCCGGGGGCTGATGCTGGGGTTGTGAGCGCGAACCATGAGCAATTTTCACATATAGAAGCACCTTTCAAAGACTCTACTGAAGCTTTCGATTGCATTGAGTTGTTTTCGGGGCAGGGAAACTGGAGTAAGGCTCATATGGCTGCAGGTCTGAAGGTGCATCCAGGGATCGAACGTGATGCTCACAGAACAAAGTTTGGAGATCTTTTTGACAACTCTACCTTTAGGGGCCTACCGTTCGGGATTGGCACGCCGGACCACCATGCTGGTCGTTCGGCGCGCTGAGACGGCCACGCTTGAGGTCGAAACAACAGCCAGCAGGATTTGACATGTATGAGGAACAAACTCAGAAACAGACAATGTTGGCAGTTCGAACCGCCTTTTTACTTTGTCTTGCAGTTCAGAGCGGCAGCTATGTATCGTGTGAACAACCGGGTGGTTCTGTGATGTTTCAGTTGCACGCATGTCAGGTGCTGCTTTCTCTAGGGTGCTGGATTACAAAGTTTTGCTTCTGTACCTACGGGTCCGCTTTCATGAAGCCGTCAAAATGGTTACATAACAAGCGTCGGTACTGCAAACTTGCCGGACAGTGTTCATGCAAATACAGGGGCCGTCACTTCACAGTTCAGGGCGCTTTTACTAAATCTGCCACCCGAGTTTTTACACAGCGTTGTAATCCGAACCCTCTAGAAGTGTATGGACGTCTGCCACGTCAAGGGGAGGCAGTTGGCAGTTACTCGGCATCATACCCGATCCCACTTTGTCAGGTGATGGCATTGGGCTGCGTGGCTGCCCTCCAGACGCCGGCAGAAGGGAGAAGTTTGTTCAGTCGCAGGCATGACGCAAGGCTGGATGCAACTTCGCCCCTTGAGGATGCAATGACTGGTCGGAGAGCTTGGCATGAGAACCCCGAGTGGGTGTATGACATTTGTGAGAGTTTGCGTTTCAGAGAGTTGTTCAGATATCGTTTCGGAAGAATGGTCACATCAATTGTTTGGAATGCCGGGTGTACAAAAGTTGGCTAAAGTTTTGCGCAGAGCGTCGTCCCAACACCCGTGTACTTGGAATTCTTGACAGCCGGGTGACCGTTGGAGCCGCAGCCAAAGGTAGGAGTAGTTCAAAGGCCTTGAGCAAGATCTTGAGGCCAACCTTGGGGTACGTTATCCAGGAGCTCTGCACTGCCGGTCAGTGTGGAATCGAGCGGTCCGTCGCGTGGTTCGGATGCACCTGGTCCGAGTCGTGATCCTCCTCCTTGGCTCCAAGGTTTGCAGGACGGGAACTTTCAGTTGTCTGATTTGATGTTGATATCTGCTGAGTGGACTCGGCCTTTGGGTCGTTGGGCGCGGCTCTTGTTATTGCTTGCTGGTGAACTGTTTGGCGTGCGGGTGAGCGCTCATGTTGGTTTGACGTTGGAGTATGTTCTCTCAACAGCAGAGCTGGCCAATCTAGCCCTTCGGGCCTACGGACTGGTGCTGTTTAGAGAAGGCAGACCAAGATACCTTTGGTTTACAGCATTACTGCTGTCCAGCAAGTCCGACCTGAGTACAAGCGGGCCCTCGCTGGCGCTTGGCAGATAGATTTGAAGTGGCAGATCGAAGAGCCAGGCCAGTGCGGAGCAGTGTTGTCCGCGCCAGTGACGAGAGCAATTTTGCGCTTGGCTTTGCTATGGGGCTGGAGAAAATTTGCTGGTGTGATTGCCTTGAGATTCAGTGGGAGTGCTCC